AAAAAAAAAAATTTCTTTTTTTAATTTACGACGTTTATAATGAAGATTCCATCTCAATTCTATATATGATAATTTGTGACTGTAATAAGTTATACATGCAATAAATAATCCTATTGAAAAATCATGTGACAGAGTGATTTATTGTACGTCATATATGGGCAGTGAGGACATTTACTTTTGAGCAAATCCACATTCAAGAATAATTCTGCAAGTAATTNTAATACATAACGGTTAATAAGCAAAATATTAAAATAAATAAATTAATACTCACTTAAAAGCTCTGTAAAGAGCCTTGATGTGGCGTTTATAGAAATCAACTCTCTGGATATCATTCACACCCTCTTCAACTTTGGTAATATTGGACTCACCCATTCCTATTGATAATCCAAAAACAAAATTTAATTAAAACCAATAAACGCAGAGATTCTGAACTTAGTCAATATATGCAAAAAAGAAATGATTAACATATAACATGTTCAATTGATCAGTGGCTTACCGCACTCAGTGATATAAATTTTGGGATTCTTGTAATGTTTCTTTATGTAAAGAAGAAGCTTATAGAGTCCCCTTGGTGCAACAAAGAAAATACTCACACCCGTCTGCAGAATGTTAAAATTTTCAAACTTGTGAGCATAACGCAATAATAGGGAACAAAAATTAAAGCCATAAAACAAACCCCTATTTGAGGGTTCATTTCACCATCACCAAATTATACTTAGTATAACAATAAACTGACAAAATTAATTTTGTGAGTTTATTGTTATACTAAGTATAATTTGGTGATGGTGAAATGAACCCTCAAATAGGGGTTTGTTTTATGGCTTTAATTTTTGTTCCCTATTATTGCGTTATGCTCACAAGTTTGAAAATTTTAACATTCTGCAGACGGGTGTGAGTATTTTCTTTGTTGCACCAAGGGGACTCTATAAGCTTCTTCTTTACATAAAGAAACATTACAAGAATCCCAAAATTTATATCACTGAGTGCGGTAAGCCACTGATCAATTGAACATGTTATATGTTAATCATTTCTTTTTTGCATATATTGACTAAGTTCAGAATCTCTGCGTTTATTGGTTTTAATTAAATTTTGTTTTTGGATTATCAATAGGAATGGGTGAGTCCAATATTACCAAAGTTGAAGAGGGTGTGAATGATATCCAGAGAGTTGATTTCTATAAACGCCACATCAAGGCTCTTTACAGAGCTTTTAAGTGAGTATTAATTTATTTATTTTAATATTTTGCTTATTAACCGTTATGTATTATCTTTTAATTAATTTTCCCTTCTTTTTTTTTTTGCAGAGAGGGGGTGAACGTTCACGGTTTCTTTGCATGGTCATTTTTCGACAACTTTGAATGGGGTTCAGGATACACCCAGAGGTTTGGCATAAACTTTATAGACTACAAGAATAATCTCAAAAGATACCCCAAACGATCTGCTCTTTGGATGAAGAGATTCCTTCTCAAGTAGAATGTGTTGAATGTATCAAATAAAAGTTCAGTAACTGAAGTGCTTCAAGCGTAACACTACTAGAAATAAGGCCTATGGCAACCCTTCTAAAACCGTTCCAATAAATTCACTAACCGACGCTGTAGATCTACTGAGACGGTTAAGCAGTCGTTCCCGGATTTGCTGTTACCATAAGTCTATTAGAACGGTTATGTGGAACGGTTACAAAACCGTCCCCATATATTGATATTGTAACGGTTATGAAACCGTTACATCAATCTGTGGAACGGTTTTGTATTTTGTTGGGACGGTTATAAACCGTTCCAATATAAGTGTGCCAACGATATTTTACGACTATCGCAACGGTTTTTATAATATATTGTAACGGTTTTTGTGATCTATTGCAACAGTTATTAGGGGCTTCTATTATTTTTTTGCTAAGTCTATTGCAACGGTTATATTGTCTATTGCAACAGTTATATTGCCTATTGCAACGACTCTTCCTAATAATGTCATATATATTTATAGCTCCTGAATGAGGAATATTTCCCTTGCAACAAAATTTTATACACCATAACTTATATAAACTACAAAATAACATTGAAATATCAAACTAGCTACCATTATCCATAACAAATATATGAATACATTGTTTGATCAATAATATCTAAGTTGAAATAGATGAGTTTGCGTACAAAAAGTTCTACACTAAAATATCCTAGAACATAATGAGAAAGTCTAGCAACGATCAACAACACTTAGGTAAGGTCTTCATCACTGCTTTCATCTGCAATCGTTGCACCTAGAAATGACGATCAATAAATGATTAAACAAAGAAAATTTTAAGATGTTTGAATCACAAAGTAATTGATTCAAAGCCTGAATGTCAAACAAGAAGCTAAATATTTTCTAACTTCCAAGATTTCAATAAGACAACCGAAAGGTTTTACATTTTCAAATGACATTAGTATTTAAAGCCTCCAACTCCATTTCAAAGCAACTCAATTCCAACAGCAAACCAAAATATCAAAGGAACACTCTAGCTCCTGTCAATTTACACCGCACAATCTAACATTTGACAATTGAAAATAAAGGAACACAAACGCACATGCTAACTGAAAATAATGCGTACACATACAGCAACCAAAGGTCACTTCACTATGCTAACTGACACATAAAACAATCTGCCCAAAAGTCCAGAATCAACAATGGACAAATGATAGAATTCAACTCTCCAGAGATTACTACATCAACAGATTATTTCAACAACCTAAGGCATCAGAAACTCACAAAAATTATTAAATTGTCAATGAGTTAATACCTGTAATGAGCTGGCCTTCTTTGATGCTACCGGTAGATGGACGACGAATTGGTTGCAAAGTTGTTTGTTGTGAAGATGAAACTTCTCCTGGTGAATTATCACCCAATGCCGCTAGAATAATGTTAGTATCAATATTAATTCCTGAACGTTGAAGTCGTGCAAGAACATCCGCAACAACTTCTTGACGAATAGTTGTCTTTTGTTCCTCAAATTTTTCTTTCATTCTCTGTATTTTCTCCTCCATTTTTTGCAAACAATTTGTGGAATTTGAAGAGTGTTCTGAACATCCTACTTTCCCTCTCAAAGAAGTTCTTGTAACCCCCCGTCCATACAACCTCAAACGCCCTGGATGTTCAGGTCCCATGACAGCTGCAAATGCCTCTACGGACTCATTGCCATTTTCAGTTTGTTGTGCTTCTATATCCTCCATTTCAGCCTACAAAGCAAATTCAAAAATATAGAATTCAAGTAAATAACAAGTAAACTAACAGAAATATACGATTGATCTCGGTACAACAATAGTTAAGTATAATTCGCACAATTTTACTAGCAGTGTCTTCATCCGAGCACTTGTATGATCGTCCAGCTTTCCTTTTTCTTGTAGCTACAAAGAATTTCTTTGGTGTTAAAGGATCCGAAATTCCCTTATCATTTTCCTAGTCACATGGAAGTGCGTTAGTATTCCTGATGATCTGCCAGAAACTAAACATGAGCCAAAACTGAGAAATATATTTTCTTGATTTGCTAGTTACACACCAACTTAGAGCGAACTAAAGCAAAACTTCTTTTTCCAGCAGTGTGAGGATTCTTCAACTTTTTCCGGTTCTCAATATTAGTTCTGGACATTTTCTGCAGGAAGAAAGAAGCACCAAATAACAACTTACAAGTAGAACTTGAGAAGTATACAATAAACACAATAGAAGAGAAAATATAGACAGATCTGCCACATCAAATACAGTACAATTTTAAGAAGAGCACACAAAGGATATAAGGAGAAAGAAAGCTCTTTCTGCATTGGCACCCATCAGTTACTGTCACTGCCTCAGCATGTACTTCTAAACATGTTGAGGAAAAATCATCACACACACACACACTCATTCTCACAAGAAAAAACCCCAGTTCCTCACTAGTCATACCCACAGACCACCAGTTACAAAATACCCTGCATACACACCTACTCCAAACAGAGAAGAAAAAACTGGAAGGAAGGCAGTCAGCTTTCCACAAGCAACAAAATAAAAAAACAGAGCAGTAATGCTCAATTTTCTAACCAGGTTTTCTTTTTTGCAGGTTATTCTCCAAGGGTAGTCAATTTTGTAAAATTTGCTAGAAATTCTGAAACTACAGTGGATAACATGTTATAATCGAGATGAATGATTTCAAGGAAACAAAGATTTAGAAGGGCGGGATCATGAGGGCCTGAAATGTCACAACCTATCATGCTTAACACTGTTAACTGAGGGAGAGATGAAGATAAAGCCGAGCACCAATCACTCCCATTCAATGAAATGTTCAAGCCGTCAAGATAAAGTTCTCTAAGGTTTGATAGGTTTCCTAACAATGTTTTTAGATCTGGGCTCTCAAGCTTTAACTTGATGCTAGAAAGGTCAAGGAACACTAACTTTGTCAATCTTGACAATTCCACTGGAATCTGCCCCTCAAAACCAGCATATGACAAATTCAGGTACTTCAAGTGTGTGAGCTGATAAATTTCTTTTGGTATTTGAGTAGAGTACAAGGCCACTGGCAACAATCAGTGTTTTGATCATTCAATTGATATGGTTTCTAGGAGTGGTATTAGCATCTATAATGCTCATTCTCCTGAAACCATGCCATTTGATATACAGTCAACAACCCCATAGAAATACCTGCTCACAAGGGCTCACAAAGAAGCAGCAATATAAAAGGCTACAGCTTCTGCACACTTCTGCAGTTCCAGCTACAGCTGCTGCACACTTCCCCAGCAACAGAAGCAGCAATATAAAAGGCTGCAGCCAGCACAAGAACCTGCAGCCAGTGCCACCATTTCCTCACCTCCTTATATCCTACACCCTTCCTGGTGCTCTTGTACCATATGAAATAATTTTTAATTTCATGTCTTCTTAAGCAGCTGAAGCAGCTTTCTCCAAAGGCTCATTGTTACATAGGCTCGTATTTGGTCAAGATCACATTTTTAAGAAGAAGAAGATAGAAGTGGAGGAAATATCCCCGGGAGGAGGAGGAGAAAGAAGAAGAAGTTCTAGAAGAAGAATAAGAACAAGTAGAAAGAACTAGACATACCTGGAGTTTTTCAGAGTTCCAATACCTAAGGAGTTCCTTAAACTGAGAAGCTGGAACATCTTCAGGGACATTTTTCATTCGAGTTTCATCATTTTGATAGGCGTCAAAGTGAACTTTTTTCAATCTACTCTTGTGCTTTCTCCAGGCAGCTTGGACTGTTTCCAAAGTATATTTTTTTCCAGCTTCAGGAATATCATATTTATCCTACAATTGGTGTCAAATCTGTTAATGCAGAAAATATGAAAGATTTTCAACTAAAAATTGAAAATGAAGATCTTCTGACCTTGGTATATTCCCATATATCCTCTTTTGTGTCCATCTTCCTCCAATCCAAAATATCAAGAGGACATAGAGTCGCATTCCTTGCCAATGTGCCGAGGAAGCTTCCAAACTCTAGCACAACAACTTCAGTAGGACCAACAAGTTGATTTAAGTAGTTAAGTAAAATCAATTTACGCTCTTGCCGTCCATGTACACTTTTTATCTTTGTTCGACCTCTTTTTCTCCTTTGAATGGAAGGGCCTACAACCATACAAACCAACGAAAACCACCAAATTACTATTGTTGATACATTGTGTATGACTGAAATAGGATTTAAGCATTTTAGATAAAGTCTATATGGTCTTACCTTGTTTTTCACATTGTTCATCTGTGATAGGAATTGTCGAATCCAACTGAACTTGTTCCTCTACTATTTGTGTTGCAGGAGTGGTTGATCTAGTGTGTACATTGGCTTCTACTTCTGGATATTGGGGTATTAGTTGATTCTCTTCAATGATATTCGGACGCTCTTTGCTAGATGGATGCTCTTTGTTTGATGGACGTGCAGGAATAACATATTTTTGGCTAAACGAACTCCTTATTTGGTTTGCCAAAGATGCCATTGTTACGGCTTTTATGTATGTCGCGCTTGTCTTTCTTTTGGCTTTTGAAGGTCTTTCTTGATTCATATTTATCAGAACCTGATGTAGAATATAAATAAAATTATCTCTAACAGGTATTATATAAAAGACGACAATTGAATTCAAAGGTATTATAGCTTGATTCTTGGAAAGCATTATTTGGCAATATGAAGTGTCACTCAGAGAAAATAATAGTATCATCCATGAACAGTACTGTAGAAGAAGCTTATTCCCTCTAAACATTAAACTACAGCAAAAAACAAGGATTATGCATTGTCTAAATAAACAAGTTAACACATTCACCAATTCAATTGATTTATTATGCTTGGAATTATAAGGTTTAGAAGTGAGAGAGAATTCCAATTTCCACCACCCTGTTGTCCAGTGTCCTATTTTAGCCGATCTGTAATCCATCTGCACATTCTTTTTATATGAACATCAGTATAGCACAATTTGAAACCTTTGCTAAAAATCAGAACTATTGTAGCTAAAAGAAAATTAAGATGAGATGATGCAACAGACTGTACTCACTACCCAAATTACTACTTACTTGCCCTATTAACAAGATGAGTACTCATGTACCAAAAGTCAAAGGAAAGAAATGTTATGATGCTGCAGATTATCAATCGAGTCTAATATAGTCTGTGACAGAAGCGATCTCACAGTATAACAAGAAGGAAGTTCAGTTCAAGACTCAAAAAGTTTGAAACTCAAAACCTTTCAAAACAGAACTTTCAACTGTTTATCAACTGAATCCCAAGTAATCCAATGAATTTTCAACTGTTATCTAACAATTTTAGTCGATTCGACAAGTTTTGGACTTAATTCCGACAGAGAAAATAAAACACATTATTCCCAGAAAGAACAAAAGAACGGTAGTAGCAACAACAACAGCAGATCAACAACAACATGCATCTCTTGAAGCTAGATTTACAGAAAGAAGTAAGCACAGTTAATTGCTTCCAGAAAGAACAGCAACAACA